CCCCTTGGGCTGGGAAGCGCCTCAGTAAAGGCCTGTGGGAGCAACTTGCTGGCTCCCAGCTTCCAGTTGTCCCAAGCTTTTGCTCAGTGAAGGTTTCTTTCATTTGAGCGGGGGGGGGGTATTAATTCCCAAAGAACAAAATCCCTGGGAGAAAATTTACTGCCTTTGGAATGGGAATAAATGTAACAAGACTTAGTGCCAAATAGTCTTTTTTTTTTTTTTTTCCCCCCTGAAATAAAAAATACCATAAAAGTGGAGCTCATGTCTAACGTAATCTACTTCTGCCTTGTCTCTTGCCAAGTAGTTGGTTGAGTTTAATGTCTTTGGAAACATCTGTAACACAGTAACGGCAGGGCCACTCTGTAAGAAGTAATGATTCCCATTGCCCTATGAGAAGCAGTGGGAATGAGCGTCAAAGGTCAACTTTTTTTTTTCCCTCCATGATGTTGGAAAATATATATTCAAAGTATGAATTAGGACATTAAGGAAGCAAGGTACTGACAGGCTGCTTATAGATTTTGCTTGGTCTAACCTTCAGTGTTTTGGGTTCCGACTTGAGCAGTGCCAGTGGGCTAGTCACAGGGGAAGTTTTCTTGTTGATCCTGCTTCTGTGGCTGTGGAGGCATGAATGCTGGTACTGGGGAGAGTTGGGGAAAACACGGTGGGTAAGAGGAGTGGGGATATATCTCTCGGGAGCCACACAGATTTAAACTGGTGTAAGCTGATTATGAAACTGCACCTTGGTATCTAATGCAATTTTTGTTACATCAGTCCTTCCTCCAGGTTGTGGCAGTAGAAAATCAAATGTTGACTTCAAGTTGAAATAATGTTTGCAACGTGGGGGTTTTGTGTGTGTTTGTTTTTCCCTGCCCATTTCAGTAAAGTCTGCAGCTACTAGGTGTTTTGGGGGCTAGCTTAACTTATTTTCTTTTAATTTGTTGAAGGTTGGAGTAAGAGGGAAGGATATTGTTGTTCTTGGTGTGGAAAAGAAGTCTGTGGCAAAACTTCAGGATGAAAGAACTGTACGGAAGATCTGTGCTCTCGATGACAACGTCTGCATGGCTTTTGCAGGTACATGATCCCTTTGGGGATTTTGGCAGTTACTGGAGCACGTTTGGGTGTGTTTATGGATTCTGAGAGCATAAAATACTTGGCATAACTGGCTGAGGACTATGGGGAAGGAGTATATTTCCATGGTGGCTTATTCTTTTTTTAAATAAGAGTTGTATGGATAAATATACAGAGAGACAGTGAACTAATGAGAGGAAATACGTGTTAAAGTTACTGAAGTCCTCTAGGTTTAATGTGAGGAGAACTGAAGTGTCATTGGTTCAGATACAGATATCTACTGTTTAAATAGATGTATTTAAATTTATACATTTATTCAATGTATTTTATGTATTTAAAATTCTATATAAAAACCCCCTTATTATTAATGCATATCACAGGAGCTAGAAGAGACGCTTGCCAGTTATGGGGACTTTTTCCCCACATGCATCAGCCAAAAAAGCTAAATTTTGCAGTCTTGCATAAAACAAAGAGAAATCTCCCCTGTTCTAGTTCAAAGGACTCCTTCTGAATAAACAGCTCTGCATTTGAAGCTTAAGTATCCTAGTTCCGCGTTCCTCCTGTTCCAAATGCCTTATTTTCCATCGTTCAAAGCTTAAACAGGAGGCACGAAAGTTTAAAAAAAACAACGTAAATGGAGAGAAAATGTATTGCAGAAGGTTTCTCTTCTCCAAGTAGTTTAGAATCCTTGTGTCAGTGTTAGCAGTGCTTTAAGGGGAGGTCTAATTTAACTGGCAAAAATCATAGGGTTTAGATTTAGCGTGCAGGGGTGATCGGCTCGGCTACTTCTGCTGCCTTGCCTCCTTAGCTGTGGGTTGTGATGCCTTGGGTGGGTTCACAAGCTTGCAGAAAAGTTCTCTGATAGAAACAAGGCTGTCAGTTGAAAGTGGCATCATAAGCTAAAAAGTAAAATGAGAAATAAGTTTCTTTTTAATTTTTTTTTCAAAGGGTCGTACTCATTTTTTCAATTAACATCATGCTGCTGTGGCCTCATCAACTAGACAAGATTTGCTGTGCAGATAAAGCTGGCTTATAGTTAGGGGGACTGCATACGAAATAAAACCGACGTGTGTGAGACCTGAGATTGCTCTGCTAATTTGCTGTTAGATGGAATGCTGTCAGTCTGTCAGCAATATTCTGATTACCCGGTTCAGGTTGCCAGGTTCAGCCTGTCAGAGCAGAATACCACGTTCCAAGGTTTCGCTTTGTTCCTCTCCAGTCATCTCACATTTGTGTCTTTCATTCTGGCACGCTCCTGATTTCTCTCAAACTGTTACAAACCACGAATCTCACACAGTATTCCTGCTTGCATGTGTTGCCTACCTCATGAACATGAAAGCTGTAAACTAAATCCTCTACTTATTTTGGTACGTTAGCTTCTTTCCGTTGCCTTAAAAATGCTATTCTTGCTCAGCAAACCCGAGAAAGTGGGATCTCTCACTTGCTTTTTTTTTTTTTTTTTTTTTTTTTTCCTTGCTGTTGACCTTGTGAGCCTTCCAGGGCAAGACTAGTCGTTTCGTTTGTGTGTACGGTACGAAGCATGAATCTGAGAACACGCTGTCGTTGCAGGGCTGACGGCTGATGCCAGAATAGTCATCAACAGAGCTCGCGTAGAGTGTCAAAGCCACAGACTTACAGTGGAGGATCCTGTCACCGTGGAGTACATCACGCGTTACATTGCTAGTCTGAAACAGGTACGTTGGACCGCACAGAGATGCTTAAAAGACATCCTGATACACAGCGCTTCAGACGGAAGTACGTAAAGTGTCAGTCTTGGCCTTGTTCTACTCGGCTGGTAAAAATCAGCGCAGCAAAAAGCGTTGCGGTTGTCTGCTGGAAATGGGGATGTAGTAACAGAAAAGGAGGGCTGGTTGCTGTTGGGGGCTTTTCTTCCAAAGATGAAGAAATGAATTGGTATTTGTAAGGACTGCGTAACTACGCTGGTGATATCATCAGGAACGCTCTGCTAATCTGCAGCTCCAGGTTGCTCTCCTAATGATGGTGCTGTGTTACTGTCGAAATGTCTTTGTGGCTCCTGTTCATTTTCCTTCCTACTCTCTTGCAGGGAGGGGTAAGAAGGGAGCAAATCAGTGCAGTACTTACTGTATTTTACACTTCATGAATTTAAAGTGAATTACAGTGTCAAAAATATGCCCAGCTGCATTCTCTGATAAAATTATTCATTTGCCAGTGTATTAAACTGATTTTCAGCAACTAGTGGAAAAAGTCTAAATTTCCTTACGCACAGACGTGTTTTAGTACAGTGATGATGATAATAGTGTAATCCTTGTAATGATCACTGGCCTGCCAGAGCAGAATACCACTTCCCAGAGCTTCGCTTTGTTCCTCTCCAGTCATCTCACATTTGTGTCTTTCATTCTGGCACGCTCCTGATTTCTCCCAAACTGTTACAAACCACGAATCTCACACCGTGTTCCTGCTGCGACAGTGCTGCTGGTGCCAGGCCTCCTTGATGGCAGGGCTCTTACTTGCCTTGCTTATGGTCTTCTCTAAGACACGGAATCCTAACTTTAACCGGTACATTGGTAAGAGAGCCCGCTAAAAATATTTCCGGTGCCTCTTCAGGTTGTAACTTCTACACTGTCTGCTTTCCCTTCTAAAAACATTTTTTTAGAACCGCTTCTGAAGTAAGTGTCTCCTCTTTCTGATCAGAGGTACACACAAAGCAACGGTCGCAGACCTTTTGGTATCTCTGCCCTTATCGTGGGATTTGACTTTGATGGAACCCCCCGGCTGTACCAGACCGATCCCTCGGGTACATACCATGCTTGGAAGGTGAGTTGATTCTGTC